CAAGTTATCGTTGAGTCGGGCACGTCCCTCTACACGAGGAAAGTTCAAAATTATCCCAGTGCGACCCTACCTAGGAGTTGGAACCCCTAGGAAAGCAGCATTAGTAGTAACAGTAACGCTAAGCTAAAGCTGAGCTAAAGCTAAGCTAAAGCTAAGCTAAAGTTAAGCTAAAGCTAAGCTAAAGCTAAGGTAAAGCTGAGCAACAGCTAAGCTAAAGCTAAGCTACAGCTAAGCTAAAGCTAAAGCTAAGCTAAAGCTAAGCTAAAGCTAAGCTAAAGCTAAGATAAAGCTAAGCTACAGCTAAGCTCAAGCTAAGCTACAGCTAAGCTCAAGCTAAGCTCAAGCTAAGCGAAAGCTAAGCTAAAGCTAAGCTAAACGCTAAGCGAAACGCTAAGCTAAAGCTAAGCTACAGCAAAGCTAAAGCTAAGCTAAAGCTAAGCTAAAGCTAAAGCTAAAGCTAAAGCTAAATCTGGCTCCCAGGGGACTGGGGGGAACCGCGGGGCGGGGACTGGGGGAACCGCCCGGGGCGCTTTGCACTGCCCGGCCCCTTTAAGCTAAGAGAAGTAAGAACCCTTCTAGGCAGAGCCTAGGTAGGGAAATAGTCAAGCAACAGTTGAGTCGGGCACGTCCCTCTACACGAGGAAAGTTCAAAAATAGTCAAGCAACAGTCTGGGGACGGCTGTTCAACTATTTCTGATGATTCTTCCCTACCTAGGCTCTGCCTAGAAGGGTTCTTACTCTCTTTGCTTAAAGGGGCCGGGCAGTGCTACACGCCCCGGGCGGGTCCCCCAGTCCCCGCCCCGCGGTTCCCCCAGTCCCCTGGGAGCTTTAGCCTTAGCTTTAGCTTTAGCTTTAGCTTTAGCTTTAGCTTTAGCTTTAGCTTAGCTTTAGCTTAGTGTTAGCTTAGCTTTAGCTTAGCTTTAGCTTAGCTTTAGCTTAGCTTCAGCTTAGTGTTAGCTTAGCTTTAGCTTAGCTTTTTAGCTTCAGCTTAGCTTGAGCTTAGCTTTAGCTTTGTGTTAGCTTAGCCTTAGCTTAGCTTTAGCTTAGCTTTAGCTTAGCTTTAGCTTAGCTTCAGCTTAGCTTCAGCTTCAGTGGCAGCTTAGCTTTAGCTCAGCTTTAGCTTAGCTTTAGCTTAGCTTTAGCTTAGCTTCTGCTTAGTGTTAGCTTAGCTTTAGCTTAGTGTTAGCTTAGCTTTAGCTTAGCTTTAGCTTAGCTTTAGCTTAGCTTTTGCTTAGCTTTAGCCGAGCTTCAGCTTAGCTTCAGCTTAGCTTTACCTTAGCTTTAGCTTAGCTTTAGCTTAGCTTTAGCTTAGCATTAGCTTGGCTTTAGCTTAGCTTTAGCTTAGCTTTAGCTTAGCATTAGCTTGGCGTTAGCTTAGTGTTAGCTTAGCCTTAGCTTAGCTTTAGCTTAGCTTTCGCTTAGCTTCAGCTTAGCTTTAGCTTAGCTTTAGCTTAGCTTCAGCTTAGTGTTAGCTTAGCTTTAGCTTAGCTTTAGCTTAGCTTTAGCTTAGCTTCAGCTTAGCTTAGCTTAGCTTTAGCTTTGTGTTAGCTTAGCCTTAGCTTAGCTTTAACTTAGCTTTAGCTTAGCTTTAGCTTAGCTTTAGCTTAGCTTCAGCTTAGCTTCAGCTTAGTGGCAGCTTAGCTTTAGCTCAGCTTTAGCTTAGCTTTAGCTCAGCTTTAGCTTAGCTTCTGCTTATTGTTAGCTTAGCTGTAGCTTAGCTTTAGCTTATATTTAGCTTAGCTTTAGCTTAGCTTTAGCTTAGCTTTTGCTTAGCTTTAGCTTAGCTTCAGCTTAGCTTCAGCTTAGCTTTAGCTTAGCTTTAGCTTAGCTCTAGCTTAGCTTTAGCTTAGCTTTAGCTTAGCATTAGCTTGGCTTTAGCTTAGCTTTAGCTTAGCTCTAGCTTAGCTTTAGCTTAGCTTTAGCTTAGTGTTAGCTTAGCCTTAGATTAGATTTAGCTTAGCTTTCGCTTAGCTTCAGCTTAGCTTTAGCTTAGCTTTAGCTTAGCTTTAGCTTAGCTTAGCGTTAGCTTATCTTTAGATTTAGTGTTAGCTTAGCTTTAGCTTAGCGTTAGCTTAGCTTTAGCTTTAGCTTAGCTTCAGCTTAGCTTTAGCTTAGCTTTAGCTTAGCTTTAGCTTAGCTTCAGCTTAGCTTGAGCTTAGCTTTAGTTTAGCTTCAGCTTAGCTTTAGCTTAGCTTTAGCTTAGCTTTACTGTTACTACTAATGCTGCTTTCCTAGGGGCTCCAACTCCTAGGTAGGGTCGCACTGGGATAATTTGAGTATGTTGGACCTTTTTTCATTGTTCCTCCAAAATCTGCCTGCAGGGGGACATGTCCGACCTAAGGTCCACGGCTCCCTCATCTCTACATGCGTTCTGTCTGGGCAAATCGAGATGGCTTCGCGGCCCCACGCCTTCACCCCCGGCTACCTCGCCTCTCTCGCCGCCGTGCCCCCCGCCCCCGGCGCCACATGGTAGATCTGCCCGCTTCGCCCGCCCCGCTCCCTCCCCTCCCCATGCCCGCCTCGGCACCGCGCGGGAGAAGGAGAAGACTGCGTCTCGATGGGAAGGGGGCAGAGCAGAGACGGGGAGAGGAGGGGGACAAGACGGGGAAGCACGCGGGGGAGAGGAGGGGGCAGCAGGAGCTCGACCGGGAGGGGGCGAGGGGGCAGGCAGGAGGGCGAGGCGGGGGCAGGGGAGGAGCAGCAGTGGAGGAGGGAGAGGGGGGAAGGAGGCGGGAGGAGAGGGAGGCAGGGCGCAGCGGGCGGCACCAGGCCACTCCACGCTCTCCTCCCGACTCCCTCCTGTCCACCCCTCCTCCTCCTCCTCCTCCTCCTCCTCCTCCTCCTCCTCCTCCTCCTCCCTCCATCCTAGTGTCCTCCCTTCCGCCCCCTCCCCCTCGAGGGAGGGGAGGGCGAGGAGGACCAGAGTATAAGCCCAAGGCGTATCAACGATGCTGCACCACCCAGGCGATCGCAAACATGGATCAAGGGGGCGTGGATTACCGACGGGTCCCGCTTTCATGGGAAATCGCAGCTTTCCGCCGCCGAACGGGGCGGCACCAGCTGCATTTTGGGGAGGGCGCCTCCCCCGATCCATGACCTCGGCGATCGCGCGCCACATCCATGGATCGCTGATCCACGCTCGCGCCCCCCCCCCCCCCGAACTGCACCCTCCTGTCCCGAGTCCCCCCCACCCCCACCCGGCGCAAGTCCCTGCAGGCGCTCCGCTCTGCTGCCGGAGGTGTGCCCGACGCCTGGAAGGCCGAGCGTCCCGAGGGGGCCCGCAGCTCGCCCGCGGGAGCTCCGTCTTGACAGGGACCGCGCTCCATCGTGTGAACTATGGCTTGGCATCGCTCGGACGTGTGCATTTTGTTTCGGCGAGAGCCCTCGAGGACCATCCGGGACCATCGAGCAACGAAAACACGCACGAAGCCGAACAGTTGCACGGGAGATGGACGTCCGAGCGACGGCAAGATGAGGAACGCGTCAAGGTCGGGCTTTCAAGTGCAAGGACGAGTCCCGCCCCCGCCCTGCAAGGAAGCTGGCATGGTAAGGCTCCGTTTTGATAGAGACCGCCCTGCATCGTGCGAACTATGAGGAATGCGTCAAGGCCTGGTTTTCAAGTGCAAGGACGTGTCCCGCCCCCCGCCCTGCAAGGAAGCTGGCATGGTATGGCTCCGCTTTGCCAGAGACCGCCCTCCGCTCGTCGAACCGTGAGGCGTGCGACAAGGTCGGGCTCGAAAGTGCAAGGAAGCTTCCCGCCCCTTGCTTTGCAAACACGAGGAGGGGAAAAAACACACAGACACAATCAATCGTCGCTTTCCAGGAAAATATTGGAAAATATGGGAAGTGGGGGGGAAGACAAAAACCCAGAAACTATGGGAAAATATGGGGGGGATAATTTTATTTGTGTGTATCTATTTGTGTGTCCTAAATTTCCCTTTGCAAACACACGGGCCTGGCAGCCGTGCAGCTGCCGCACCGTGGCCGCTCCACTGCGGGGTCCGGCAGCTCGCGCGGGAGCCCTGGTTTTGAAATTAGGCCGCCCTCCGCCCTCCTCCTCCGCTCCTCCTCCTCCTCCTCCTCCTCCTCCTCCCCTCCTCTCCTCCTCCTCCTCCTCCTCTCATCTCCTCCTCCTCCTCCTCCTCCTCCTCCTCCTCCTCCTCCTCCTCCTCCTCCTCCTCCTCCTCCTCCTCCTCCTCCTCCTCCTCCTCCTCCTCCTCCTCCCTCCTCCTCCTCCTCCTCCTCATCCTCCTCTCCTCCTCTCCTCCTCCTCTCCTCCTCCTCCTCCTCCTCTCCTCCTCCTCCTCCTCCTCCTCCTTCCTCCCCTCCTTCTCCCCTCTTCCGTCCCTCCTTATCTCCTCCTCCTCCTCCTCCTCCTCCTCCTCCTCCTCCTCCTCCTATAGCCGAGCATCTGATCAAGAAGCCGCCGCCCGAAAAGTTGGGCCGATGCGTGCTGACCCGCTTGCCGAAAGTGATGGGCCTGTTTTCCACCACCACCACCACCATTAGTTGGATGGGGGGAAGGAGGAGGAGGACGACGAGGAGGAGGAGGACGAGGAGGAGGATGAGGACGAAGAGGAGGAGGAGGAGGAGGAGGAGGAGGAGGAGGAGGAGGACCCCCTCCCCCTCCAACTTATGGTGGTGGTGGCGGAAAACACGCCCATCAGAAAGGCTGGTCCAGCGTCTTGAGCACGTTCGTCCCTCCGGCGTGAACACCAGAAGTTGAGTCCAGGCTGGTTTACAGAACCTTCGGGAAAGCTGGCCCAGATTTCTGGAATGATCACACCTTGTGCTGGATGAGGAACGCGACAAGGTCGGGCACCTGTTTGTAAGGAAGTTTCCCGCCCCCCCGCCTTTGCAAAGAACCCGTCATCCATCCGTGCAGCCGTCGCAAACATTTGCTCAACTACAGTCGAGCATCTGATGAAGAAATCTCCTCCCGAAAAGCTGGGCCGGCGTTTGTTAACCCACTTGCCCGAAGGCTGGCCCACCCCCCTTAAGCATGTTCGCCCCTCCAGCGTGTGCTTACAGAACCTTCCTCCGTCGCCATTCTGGCTCAAGCATATCAGCTCAAGCCCAGCATTCTTTCGCTATACAGAGGTGGCAGCCTGCCACTCGCCTTCTCCTTCTTTCGGCCTCCTCCCCCGCGCGCGGCGCGCAAGCGCGCGGCGCGAGCCCAGCATGGCAGCCCGCGGCATCCTCGACAGCGTCGGCTTCGAGAAGGGTCGGGTTGGGTCCGGCGAGAAAGAGGTTGGGTACCACATCAGGGAGTCGTCCCTGCGCGGCCTGCTCGGCAGCGTCATGGTGATCCTCATGGTGATGGCCGCGATGGTGATCTTCATGGTGTACGACATTCGCCTGGAGAGGAAGAGCTCCCACCGAGACAAGAGGGTGCAGGAACACCACGCCGCCTCGAAGCTCGCCCGGGTGCAGATGGAGCTCTGGGCGCAGTACCGGGGCGACGTCCAGGAGTCGCGCGAGGCATCCCGGCTGATGGCCGCGCTGCAGAACTCCTACACCGACTTCAAGCCTCAGCTCCAGGCCGCGGTGGCCGACGTGGCCAAGGAGACCGGCCTGAACCCTGACAAGGCGGCGGACTTCGCGGACAGGATATTGCACGTGGTGGCGGACCTGCAGAACGACAACGTTGCGCACGCCAAGAAGCTCGTCGACCACCTCGTAAAGGAGGGCACGAAGGGGGGGAAGCTCGAGAGGCGCGCGGAGGAGCATCTCCTGTCGCAGGTTACAGAGGAGGTGGACCACATCGGCGAGGACAGACGGGCTGGCATCGCCCAAGAGGTCGAAGACGCCAGCGTCGGCGCGGGCGGCGCGGGGGCCATGGAGCCGGCCGGCGCCGATGAACTGGATCCTCTCAGGGCGGTGCTGCAGGGATTCTGGAGCGCGTTCGAAGACTACGAGGTCGCGTTCGGCGGGAAGATCCGCCAGAGCTTCCAGAATGGCAGCCCCCTGTACAAAGAGCTCGCTGGGCTGCAGCACAAGATCGCGACCTGGAAGGTCTTCCCGCCCACCGAGCAGGACGTGGTCCGCAAGCTCGACAGCCTCGGCCTGCCCAGGGAGGGCCTGCGAGGAGGGCTGCTGACCGCGAAGGAGGTCGTCGAGGAGCTGGTCATGGTCCCCGTGGTCCCAAGTGCGGAGCTCGCGGGGCTGCAGGTGAAGTGGAAGGCTTCACGGGCCTGTTTCCCAGCACCACCACCAGAAGTTGGAGGGGGGAAGGAGCAGGAGGAGGAGGAGAAGGAGGACGAGGAGGAGGAGGAGGAGGAGGAGGAGGAGGAGGAGGAGGACCCTCTCCCCTCCTACGTATGGTCATGGCGGTGGGACACAAGCCCACCAAGGCAGGCAAGATGGGCTCGGTGCCCGTGCTGCGCAGGCTCTTGGAGCTGCGCAACAAGTCCATGCTGCCGTCCAGCTGGCTGCAGCAGGGCATCGGTCATGCGGCCGAGCAGAAGGTCGAGCAGAGGAGGAGGAGGAGGAGGAGGAGGAGGAGGAGGAGGAGGAGGAGGAGGAGGAGGAGGAGCGAGGAGCGAGGAGAGAGGAAGCGAGGAGCGAGGAGCGAGGAGGAGCGAGAGAGCGAGGAGGAGGAGGAGGTGGAGGAGGAGGAGGGAGGAGCAGCAGCAGCAGCAGCAGCAGCAGCAGCAGTAGCCAGCAGGAGAGGAGGAGGAGGAGGAGGAGGGAGGAGGAGCGAGGAGGAGGAGGAGGAGGAGGAGGAGAGAAGGAGGGGGAGAGGCAGGAGGAAGGAGGAGGAGGAGGAGGAGGAGGAGGAGGAGGAGGAGGAGGAGGGGGAGAGCAGGAGGAGGGAGAAGCAGGAGGAGGAGGAGGGGGAGGGGGAGGAGGAGGACGAGGACGACGAGGAGAGAAGGAGGAGGAGGAGGAGGAGGAGGAGGAGGGAGGAGGAGGAGGAGGAGAGGGGGAGGCGCAGAAGGTCGAGCGGGAACGCCTCGACGCCGCGAGCGCCGCTCCGCCGCGCAGCGCGGCCGAGCCTGCGGCGGCCGCGGCGACGCCGGGGCCGGCGCCGGAGCCGGTGCTGCACGGCTGAGCGCTGCGTGCGCCGGGGGGCGCGCGGCGGTGCTCGCCGCACGGGGGTCCTTCTATTTCTCCTCCTTCTCCTCCTCCTGCTCCTGCTCATCCCCCTCCTCCTCCTCCTCCTCCTCCTCCTCCTCCTCCTCCTCTTCCTCCTCCTCCTGTCCTGCTCCTCTTCCTCCTCCTCCTCCTCCTCCTTTTTCCTCCCCCTCCTCCTCCTCCTCCCCTCCTCCTCCTCCTCCTCCTCCTCCTCCTCCTCCTCCTCCTCCTCCTCCTCTTTCTCCTCCTCCTCCTCCTCCACCTCCCCCTCCCCGTGGACGCCAGTGCCGATGCGGAGGCTTTGGCGCGCGCCGAGGGGCCACCGCACTGGGGGGTGCCAATCTCGAATTCGGATGCCCGCGCCCGCGGCTCACGCGCGGGAGCGGCCTCTAGAAAAGCGGGTCGCGCGCCGTCTTCCACACGCGGCGTTGGCCGCGCCGGGGCCGCGTGCCCTTTCTGCAGGGGTCTGTTGAATTCGAGGGTTCGTCTCGGCGATAGTTCTGACCATGTGGCGACACAGGGCTGTGCAGCGCGCTGGCTTCGTGGGGCCCGCCGCCCCTCCTTCTCCCTATGTCTTTCTCCTTTCGTTTCTGCTGCTCCTGGGGGTTAGCGCTCCAGGTTGCCTTGGAGCGTGCCGTCGTAGCCAGCTCACGCAGCAGAGAGAAGCACATTTTCTGGCGAAGGACCTAACCATATTCAGCTGTGCATACCGCCGTAGTGAGTGTCACCCTCAGAGGAGCTCCCTGTGGGGCCACGAAGCGTGTGAGGGGTGCTCCGAAATGGAGGCGGTGGTGCCATGCGAACCCTGCCACTGGGGCCTTTGGCGGAGCTCACTGTGGGGCCACGAAGCGTGTAAAGGGTGTGCCGAAATTGGGGGCGGCCGTGCTATGTGAACCCTGCCGCTGGGACCTTCGGTGGAGCTCCTTACGTGCACAAGAAACATAGAGGCGGCGGTGCCATGCGAATCCTGCCAGTGGGGCCTTCAGCGGAGCTCCCTACGGCGCTGCCGAAATGAAGGCGGCAGTGCCATGCGAATCCTGCCAGTGGGGCCTTCAGCGGAGCCCCCTATGATGCCACGAAGCGTGTGAGGGGTGTGCCGAGATGGAGGCAGCGGTGCCATGCGAATCCTGCCAGTGGGGCCTTCGGCGGAGCTCCCTGTGATGCCACGAAGCGTGTGAGGGGTGTGCCGAAATGGAGGCAGCGGTCCCATGCGCACCCTGCCAGTGCGGCTTTCGGCGGAGCTCCCTATAGGGCCAAGAGCAATGTAAGGGGTGCGCCGAAATGGAGGCGGCGGTGCCACGCGAACACTGCAAGTGGGGCCTTCGGCGGAGCGCCCTAGAGGGCCACGAACTGTGCGAGGGGTGTGCCGAAATTTGGGCGGCGGTGCCATGCGAACCATGCCAATGGGGCCTTCGGTGCAGCTTCCGATGAGGCCACGAAACGCGTGAGGGGTGTGCCGAAATGAAGGCGGCGGTGCCATGCGAATCCTGCCACTGGGGCCTTCGGCGGAGCTCCCTTTGGGGCCACGAAACGTGAGCGGGGTGTCCCGGAATCGATGGGGGGGCGCATGGATGAGGATCATGGGACGACGGTGATGATGGAGGGGGGAGGAGAGGGAGGAGGAGAGGAGAGGAGAGGAGGAGAGCAGGGCGCGCGGCGCTGTCTTTTCAACACGAGGAGCCAGCACCACAGGATGGTTTGTGTGTTACAGAACCATCCGGGAAGCTGGCCCAGATGTCTTACGTGCTATTTGTCTTGGTCATATTTTCGGCTGCATAAGGGGTGCGACAACATTGCGTTTCCAAGGGCAAGACCGTTTCAAGATAAGAGCGTGTCCCGCCCCCTGCTCTACAAAGAAACCAGCATCCATCCATGCAGCTGCGAACACGTCTACTCAAGTGTGGTCACGATATCAAAAGAAGAAGTCCCCAAGTGAGAACCTTACATTGGAGAGGAAACACCCTTCACCCGTCTAACTGTTGCGCACTTCGACATGTGTGGTACTGTTCCCCAATCAGAGCTTGCCTCTGTAGGGGTCCTAGCGGATTAAAGGGTTAGGTGAGGTTTGTCGCCGATTTCGGTGGCCGGGCCCAGGTGCCCGGGTGCCCGGGTGCCCGGCGGTGACCGGGTGCCCGGTGAGGTGCGTGGCCGATTTCGGTGGCCGGGCCCGGGTGCCCGGGTGCCCGGGGGTGCCCAATAGCCTGATAGCCCAGTAGCCTTATAGCCCTATAGCCCTATAAACCTACAGCCGTATAGCACTACGGCCCTGTAGCCCTGGAGCCCTAGAGCCCTATAGCTCCAGATCCCTATAGCCCTACAGCCGTACAGCCCTATGGCCCTATAGCGCTATAGCCCTAAGGTTCTATAGCCCCTATAGCCCAATAGCCCAATAGCCCTATATCACTACACCCCCATAGCCATTTAGCCCATATAGCCCCATTGCCCCAACAAACATCCGATTGGGGTTTTGTCTCTGGTATCATTTGTTTAGGTGGTCTCAGGCGAAAGCCCCATTTTGAAAACGAGCCAGTCTCAATGCGTTAAAACATATCGCTCCGTAGCCATGTTGGCTCAAGTCATGTTGCCTCAAGTTGGCATGCGGCTCTGGCCGGTTCCGAGCGACCCCAAGTTGTTTCAATTGGAGGGTTGCCGCGCGTGCCGCATGGTCCTGCCAGGGTGCCCGCACCTGCACTCGGAGACGCGTAGGGCTCTGTTTTATTGCGTTGTTGTCTGCGCGTCGATATTTGCGCATGCTTTGCTATTGTCGTTGCATGCGGCAGCGACGCATGCTATTTTGTCGAGTGAGCGCGCATCTTCCTCGACGCCGCCTGCTTCTCCTCCGACGTCAGCTGTAGCGGTGTTCGTGCAGATGGCGAACCCGTCTGTATGGCCGCACCTTCGGGAGTGCGTCACCAATGTGCTAGAAGGGGCCTCCAGCATCTATCGGCGAGGGGCTCGGCTGACACGGAACGTGGACGTATACATCGGAATGATTTCAGGCAGCAACAACTCCAGCATCGTGGAACAGGGGGGGCGAGTACCAGGCGCGATTGATCGTGAATTCCTCCCTCGAGAACAAGGGCGCCGACGTGGGCTTGTTCCTTCAACAGGTCCAGCAGGTACTCGACACATCGATGTACAAATTTCTGCTCACAGTGCACAGCAAACGTAGAGAAGATTGGCGGCGTCAGATGTTGACGTCGCTTTGCGGAAGCAAGGATCAGGTGAAGCACAGATTGGATAGGCTTGACCATCAGCGAGACTTAGGCATTTTTGGGCCATGGCCCCTGACCTGGCGGTATGACGATATGGTCGATCCTGTTAAAATCCTAGACTCGTTTGGCCAGCTGGCCAAATATTCATTTGCAGAGGCTAAGAATCGGGGGGGCAATATATGAGACGCGTTTGAGATTTTCTGTATGTCAATCACGTTGCCGTTCCTCCCCGTGACAAGTGGGCGATGGCTGCGGGCCGTTTTTCTTCTGGGCCCGCTCCGCACCGTTGTTGTAAAATCCACGTCTATTATGCGCTATACCTCGGTGGCTTGCGATTTGGGAATTTAACTACGATTCCAACTGTCGTCAAACAAGGGCTTGCCTAGATTCTTGTGGATTGGAAAGGGCCCTTTCGACAATGATAACGTCTGAATACGGGCTTACTGTTGCGGAGGCCCCCAACAAGTGCCCCCTGCTTGATAAACACAACCACTGCTGCCACCACAAAGACTGCATGTCGTCATGCGCATACGCGCTACCTCCACCGAGTGTGTAAGTGAGGTGTCGTGCAAGTCTGGCGGACAGAAACTATACGTTCCAGGATGTCCTTCAGACGGCTCAACAAGCTCTCAAGACTCCCATGGGGAGTTCCACAGGGAACGCCTCATTCATCATATTATGTCCTCCGATGCCGATCAGTTTAGACTACAACCACATGCGTTTTTTTTGTAGATGACATATACCTGAACAACTCTCAATTGTTTTTAATTGGCGTGACGTGTACTCCATACGTTAGTGATATCCATTATCGACCTAGATACATGGTGCGGCCCACCATGTATACATTGATGGTAGTGCCCACGACCGTTGCCCGATCAATTTTCAGTTGTTTTTCACTGGCGTGACGTGTACTCCACACGGTAGTGGTATCCGTTATCGGCCTAGATACACGATGCGACCCACCATGTATATATTGATGGTAGTGCCCACGACTTTTGCCCGATCAATCTAAAGGCTGCCGCCTCTGCGGCCGACCCCTATCGAGCGACTGGTTGGAATCGTCGGGGTTGGCGGTAACTCAGGTTAGCAGTCGGTCGATTGGGCGTGGATGTAACGATTATCCAGGAGCAGCGATGGCCCCATCCCCGAAGGGGGAGAATGGGATTGGACAAGGAATCGCGGTAGACCATTGGCGTCGGAGCCATCATCGTTATTTTGGGTCCTGAGGTGCCGCCTTTGAGGCGGTCTGAGACTTTCCTGCAATTGTGGGCCTGGTGATGCCGCTCGTGAGATAGTTCAGTCTTTTTCGCTTCGACATCCTCACCGTTGTCCTGAGGCGGTCCCGCCACGTTGGCTTGAGTCATTCTCGCAGTTGTGGGCTTGAGGCACGCGAGTAGTCTACCCAGCTTCTCCTTCCACACTCTCGCTTCTCAGGGCCCATGGATGGCCTGACCTGAGCTGGTCCAGTTAGGTTCGCTTCTCACTTCGTCACAACTCTGGGCTCGGCATCGACCTGGCCTGAGCTCGTCCAGCCATCTTCGCCCGATGCGTCCTCGTTATCCTGGGGTAGTCGATGCTCTTGCCTCACTGTATCCGATCTCGTTCCTCGCGGTTCTTGGTTTGCAGCTGCCGTGGGCTGTTCGTTTCCCTTGAGATCTCCTTGCAACTCTGGGTTCCTGCACTGAGGTCCTCACCCCACGTGGTCCCGGTCCTTTTCGCTTGGGAGATCGTCGGGATTGTGTCTCGGG